GAATATGCTGATTGTTTTGTTATTAAACATATCTTGTTAACCAGATGCTCTGCTGACAAACTTTTCGAAGTTAAAATTTGATAATGGATCTCTTTATCGAGTTTCTTTGAGATGATTAATATCCTGTGCGGATGCTTGAACTCCGTCGCCGGAGACTAACCAGAATGTGTACGTTGTCCCTTCGCATTATGCGACTCGGTACCGTTGACGTTGTCGACATTTTTAATATATATTTTTTTTCAGAATACTAATGTAGTGGTCATCCTTAGAGTTTATTGATTATTCATATGCATATAAAATATATAATTTAAAATTTTTCAATGATTAAATGAATGATTCAATTATGCTCATTTTGTCACATCTTTACTTAATAAATGATTTTAAGGAGCTGCAGGTGGCCAACAAGCATAATATGCCAATATTTTATTTTTTCCACGGTGCTATAAACTAATCAATTGGTTTCGACTTTACTTTTTGGTGATCATGATATTAAAAAAAATTATGATTTCTATTTTTTTATGAGTATGGAAATATCTAAATAATAAAGTTGTTCAGTTTCGTTTCAAATCCTAATTTATATGGCTTATTCATATTCTAATAATAAGGTGGTGTCAATATTTGACACACACGAAAATCCGACCCGGACCCGACCCACAAAATTCGGGTTGGACACCGACCCGATTTCAAAACGCGGTCGGTTCGGGTTCCATAAATCAAACCCGTTTGAAAACGGGCGGGTTCGGGTTGACCCGACCGCGTTGTGGGCAACCGTTTGACCCGAAACCGCAGTCGAGTCCGAGCCAGCCCGCGTCCACCTCGCGCCCGACCAGTCCCCTGCTCCAGAGCGCTCGCCTAGCGCTGCTGCCGCCCGCGGTCATGAACTGCTTGCCTTGCAGCAGACCAGTGGTCTCGTAGCGCTCTGCCGACGCTGCTGGCGACCCGCCAGGCTCTGCACGCCATGGCAGTCAGGGGCGAAAGCAACAATTCTGCTTTTGCTCCGCTCCGCGCCTCCGGCGATTCGGGTGCACAGTTACTGGGTTCGGGTTCGAGAGGCCGACAACTTCCCGCTCCGGTCAGGAATTCGAGTGTCGGATTTTCGGACCCGTTTGCCTCAACGCGGGTCGGTTGGGTCGAGCACCGTTGAACCCGGTCAGTTCGCGGGTCCGTACCCGGACCCGCGAAATTCGAACACCCCTATCTAAGTATAAAACCGCAATAAAAACATTGTAATAATAAGCTATTATATGTTTAACAAAGTAAGTAGTTTTTTTTTTTTTTTTTAGTATTTGCGATGAAAGTTTGCCAAAGAGTATACAGAATAAAGAATTTCTGTACATAATGATTTTGAATGTTTTTAACAGAGATTTTCCTTATTTCATTATGTCATGGTTGTGATGGGATTAAGTTATCTAAATTATAACAAGCTAATTATGAATCATATTTTCTTTGCAGGAATATCAGCAGGTTTGCTCTTATGTTCTTTCTTAAATAACATAATGTTGTGGCTGTATGTTTAACAATATAATATCTTTAAATGTTAATAAATAATTATTTTTTTGTTGCAATGTCATAGACTACAGCTCGCACAACACAAACTAAATTCAGGAGCGATTCTCTTTGTTCAGAACTCCATACAGAAAAAATTGCTTTGAAGAAAGGTTATCCAAGTGCGGAGGTTTCCGGTGGAGTATGGTTATTTTCTCTTTTTATTGTAGCTCGTATGAGCGTAAGGAGCTGGAGGTACCTTCTAAGGCCTTAAAGAACGTAATTCAGTGTGACCAGACCGATCTGTGTATTTTTTTTTAACGCATAGGCACCTCTTGTGGGTTTCAACTAATATATATAATTATTTATATATATTATGATAAAGATTATTATTATAGTAATGTATCATATATATTATATATATTATTAGTATTTATATGTATTATTATCTTATTATATATATCATATATATAGTTTACATACTAAGCAGATAAAGCATTAAATACACAGTGACATTATATCCATTAAGCTAGGCCGATCTTGACGGCGCAACAAAACATATATATGTCTGATAATTGTTCCCATTACAGCTCAACACTTACTCACCTGGGATTGTTTAATTACACTTAAATTGTACTTGATAGAGGTTAGTGTTGAAATATGTTTTCCCTGTTATGTCAAAGTAAATGTTCCCTAATGTTTGATTAGAACTTTATTATGTTGATACGATAGAAAGATGCAAGTAATGATGGTTAATTATGCAAAAGGAGCTTTATAAACAAGGAAGATTATGTTAGAGAGGAAATTTATAAAATATGACATCGGAAAAATGTTCTCAGATCAAATAGATTTCAAATTTTTATTAGTGTGAACATGATTAGTGAAAACAGGAATTCATAATTGGATAGAGGCATTTTTGAAAAAATAATTGGAAAGAATAAACAAGTAGGAAAAATAGATAAGTTTATTAGTTTATACGATAATGTTTAATATATGTTAGAAAAGTTCAAGGATATAGTTGAGATTTTTGTTACTGTCAAAAGTATATTCGTCTGTATTATTTATTGTTGAATTATTTTTATTATTATTATTTCTACTGATATTATTATTCATTTTAAAATCCACATGGGTAAGTATAAGCTTTTTCAATTATCTACTTATTATGTAGTAGTTGTCTGTAATTCTTATTGGTATTCAATGGACGCAATGTATTTATAGATCGGTATAATAATAAAAAGACTGATAGCTAATTAGGTATTATGAATTCATTGTTTTTCGGTGCTGGTCGGAAGTTATCGAATCCGTTAATTCGTTGGTGGGTGATACGGGCATTATATTCTATAGCTCATTGCTTGGATTGGCTAAGTTGAAACTCAGGTTGTATGGCAAAAGAATAAGAAAATCAAAGATCTTTATTAAGCAAGACAGGGGCGGGACTATAAATCATGGAAAATAAAGAAGATAAGTTGAGGGTAATAAATACAAAATTGGTATTATATAATTAAAATGGATGTTTGTGGATTATTTATAGGTCATGGAAACACTTAGGTTAGCATAGGGTTGAAAATTTACGGCGTATACACTAAGAAAATTTGCTTCTTACACTTATTTGCGTTTTTAAAGCGTATTGAATGATTAGGTAAAGAGCTTGTGAGAGCCGAAGGAACGAAGTGAGGCGGTTTTTGGACAATTATCTAGGTCTATTAAAGCCTTGACACGCAGTTGCGAGACGTCATGTTGAGCTATTAATTCCAAATAATTTTATTGTTGTACTGAGAGAACAGGGATCACTGATCTTAGAGCTTTTGAAAATTAAGTGATTGTTCTTTCGGATATATGCAGTGGCAGAATTTTAGATAACATGGCAATTTTCATAGTATATATCATTGTAACGAAATTTTACTGTGCTTTCTTCTGTTCTGTTGTTCGTTGAGTGTTTTCCTTTAGTGTTTTTCAACTCCTCCAATACCTTTTTCATGTCAATTAGATTTTCATGACTTCATTGCCTTTTTTTCTTATCATGGGATGGTTTCGTGAGGAAAATAATATCAGTTTGCTGAGTTGTAGTCTTTAGAGTAGGACAATTTTGAGTGTTATACTTATTTAATGGGAATGATTTATAGTGTTAGGTATTTAGCCAACCCTTCAATTTCAATCTGTGAAAATTTTAATTCTTTTTTTATTCTCTATGGATTAGAATTAATGCTTTTATTATTATTATTTTTTTTTATTGTATATATTATTGGTAGTTGAAGAATTAGAATAATATAGGTCAGGGATTAAATAATTATTATATTATGATGGATTTAAAGATCCTCAGTTACCGGGATTAGTATCAAGGTCAAATGAATTTAGTAATCCTACAAGTTATACCAATTAAGTTGTATTATAGAAAATCGTCGATAGTATTTAAGGAATCACAACCAGTCACTCGCGACAATATCGTTGAGTTTTAATAAAATCATCATAATCGCATTAAAATGTGGACAGCTTGATCCATATACTTATAAAATTATACAAATTATTTCTGAAAAAATAAGCAAAAAAAAAGCTTAAAGGAAAACTCATGAAAATATTATCCAAATTTGTGCTAAGAAAACAATTTCATTCAGTGCTATAACAAAGCCATAATTAACAACACCCAATTCATCCACCCTTATTTGTATGCTTGAGCTTTGGCCTTCAAAGAAGCACTACTCACTCACAATAATAAATGGAAACCAGTTTTAGAAGTATATTAACTTACATTAAAAAACCAAAATTTCGCACACAATGGAGATCAGAGAGTTTGCAGAAAGTGCTTATGAGGAAGCCTATGGTAGGATTCAGATCAGCAAGAGTTGTACTTTTCGACCGGGGATTCCTAAGATCTCGTTTGGAACGGCTTTCTTACTATTTCTTAAAGCAGCTTTTTAATACAAAAAATTAAATTTTTTGTACTAGGAAGCTGCTTAAAGAAGTAGTAAAAAAGCCGTATCAAACGAAACCTAATTCACAGCAGTGGTAGCAGTAGCAGCAAGAGCATTTAAGATTTGCTAAGCAGAGATGGGCGGTAGAAAGCATGGCTCTGTGCAATCTCAATCCTTTCACGAGGATCATTCATTGTCTCATCTCTTAGTGCTTGAAGAATAGCCTGCACTGACACCTCCCTGAAGAAACAAATCAAGGTTAAGTCTTGGGAAAAATAATGAGTTTGTTTTATTTGTAAGTTTTCTTGTAGTGAACAAGAGATAGAACTTAAGCTATGTAGACTTTAAAGCAAGATGAACTCCGATTGTATGACATAATAGAAAGTTAATGATCAAAATAGTTTTTATATATTTTTAGGCATCAAATGTTCAACTTAGTCGGCCAATTTCGTAATACCCCGTTAACCGTGTCGTTTCTTTGGACAAAAATTGCTGAAAGGGAAGTTTTTAATAGGGGAATTTTGGACTTTTCAAGATCAATCATGTTAGTTTGACCTGATATTAAGACTTAATTTGGGATGGCTTTTTTGAAGGTTCTTAAAGCAGCTTTTTAGTACAAAAATTAAATTTTTTATAGTACAAAGCTGCTTTAAGAAACTGTAAAAAAGCCGTCCCAAACGAAACCTATTGATGGGAAAAATACACGCTGCCATAATGAAACGCTTCGCTCCAATTTCTATCCATAGGAATGGTGAAGTTGCCCGTAGGACCAAATTGATTCAAATATAGTGAATTGAGGGACTAATCAAACAGCTAAAAAAAGTGTAGGACTAAAATGGACACACATAATAAGCCTAGATAACACTTTGATAATTTACTCATATAATATATTTGAATATGCTACTTCTGTAACATCATAGAAGTAAGAAAGGTGAAGAAATAGGACAAACCTTTTTATTAAAATTTTGTAGAGAGTCTTGAGGATGGGGCATAGCTCGACAGGAACAACAGGCTTGTTTTGATCAGGCCGCATAATACTTAGACTGGGTTGACTAAGAAGCGCATAAAAAGCACCCACTGCAGAGACACCCTGCAAAGTTAAACAAGGTATCCATACAACTTTCAGATAGCTCGCATAAAATCATAAAACAAAAAACCAATAAAATGATTTAATCCAACAAAATATCCAGATCAACTCTGACCCAATCCAGAAGCTATTCAGATCGAATCTAAGTCAAGATCAGCACTATCTGAACCTGACATTTGACAGGCCTACTTCACATCACTTAGATTCAAAACTAGTATTTTTATCCTAGTACCTAACAAACAAAGAAGAGTTAGGCTTTGTTTAGGACGGCTTTCTTACTGCTTCCTAAAACAGCTTTTTAGTAAAAAACCGTTTTAAAAGCAACAAAAAAGCTGTCCCAAACGAAGCTTTAATAACAGTTGAGAAGAAAACCTGGATCATCCCTTTCCCTTTGATGCTATCACCCATGTCAGGACTCAAATCACCCTTGGCCAACATCTGACCATACCATGCATTTCGACCTTTTAACAGTGTAACATATGTATCAGCTAGTAAAGGACCAGCAAGCCTCTCAGGTTCTTCTGCTAACAGATGAGTTATAAATATCATCTCTGATGTGCAGTGCGAGAAGTAAACTGATTTGCTAGTTGCGCTCTCATTAGTTAGGGAAGCTACCATACCTGAAAAGAACAAAAGCGTATGAAATATTAACCTTCAAAGTAACTAGAGTGATTTCTGAAGTAGAAAGTCAAAATTGCAGAAGTAAGAATATATCTGATTATCTAAATAAAATTGGTTAAGAAGTTTGATATTGTGTGAGATTAATGATTTATTGCTTCATGCGCACATATGTAAATGTTGAAACATGAACACATCATATAGGATATTAACAACCTTCAAGATTTCCTTAATTGAAGACTATTAAGAAAATGGCTCATAATTGATTCATCGAAGTTGAAGAAAATCACTTTAAGTAAAAACAAACAAGAGGTAGCACAATATATCACCTATTAATAACAGATTCAAATCATATCAAGATAAATTGACAGATTACTTACAAAAGTTAGCATAACTGGATAACTCTAGCACAGCTGCAATATGCTAACAGAACATGACTAGCACATACAAAAATATACTACAGATTTAAGCTTCGTTTGGAACAATTTATTTGTTACTTTTTAAAACAGATTTCTAGTACAAAAATTTCTTGAATTAGAAAATTTTATACTAAAAAGCCGTTTTAGGAAGCAGTACAAAAGCTGCACCAAACAAAACCTTAGACACTGCCATTCACCAGCAACATCCTGGTATTGGCTCCTTCACTCACAATGTAATGCGGTGGAACGGTAGAATCATCTAGTTTGAGAACTAAGGGTGGCTTGTAAAGATTGCAAATATAGTTTAGGTTGAGTATTAAGAATATTAATCATTTTAGGGGAAGGATCACATCTAAATTGTAAGCAATACAATTTCAGTTAGTAAAACAACAATGGAGTATTCTTCGCTGAGCACCATAGGAGCTTAAATGGATTGCCTAAACAAAGGACTGTTGACTAAGTACATTGATATAGCCATTATCTACAGAGGCTGATATTTTGCGGTATCATGGAAATCTTAAATAAATAAATGTGGAGTGGAATACAATAAGGCAAAACTAAAGTCATAAAACAATCTAGGACATGAAAAACTGATGGTAACGATTGTACTGGAGGGTTTTTGGCTTTTTGCTCAAAACTTGGATGTTTATATGAGAAATATGGCATATGGAATCAATCTAGAATTTCGAGGAAAAAGATTTTTTACAAATGCAGGGTAGTATTGCATGCATTAACTCTTCCCAACACCTTGATTCGTGCTTACTGAACTTGATTTGCCTTTCAGGCTTTAATTTGAGGTAAAACCAACTAAAATACTGATTTCAAACTGAAGTAGAAATACAAAAGAAATGAAAATAGCTTTTCTTGTTAGACAATCATCCAGAATTTATGTGCCACAATTGGAGTGTAAAACTTAAGATGCAAAACATGGTCGTCTCAATGGCAAGGCAGAAAAAAATGATAAACAAATTGTTGAAGTTTTCTCGATCGTAAAGAGATTCCTTAAAGACAACACTTCACTAAAAAAGTGATATTTTAATCTAAAGATTATTTGTCGAGAATATCTCTTTTTCTCCAGTTTTTAGATATAAAAAAAAAAATTCTATTCATGCCACCGATGAAATCTAACATGTTCAAAAAGTTAGATACATTGTGTACAATAAGGGATGAGTAACATGCATAATTGACTTTTGGACTTAAAAGAGAATTCTAGGTTTTTAAATGTTTTATGCTTTTTTAAATTTAAACTGTGCACTCATACTTTTAAATGATTTTTCATGCCATTTTGGTATTTTCATGTAATGTAGGACATCTTGGAGTCTAGAATTTCTTTAATGCAAATCTAAGATGGGTTGCATAACGCATACAAAGGATAAAAAATATGCAATCCTTCAACTCTTATTTAGGCAAGATTTGTTTCCTTTAATGCAAATCAGAAGACACAAAAAACTAACTCAAAATAATAATTTAGAGATAATCCAAAACTGGAATTTTGGAAAAAAATTATATGCGGTCAAGTAAGACCATGCAATGAATAGAATTTGTACTGCATAAAAATAAATATACACTTTATAAAAGAGAAAATTGAACAAGGAACTATAAATGTTTTTACACTTCAATAAAAGCTATTACTCTAATACAATCAATCATTAATTTATCCTTCTTAATTTTATCATTCATCCATATTAAAGAATATCAATGACTTTTTTTACTTTCCAACACTTAAATTCATACAACATCACCAGCCTAATTATAGTTTTATAAAATTTACTCTAAAACTACATGATATATTTTTATTGTATAATACTCCCAATGAAATTCTCTATTTTAAGTTTTAACCACCAATATAAATCTTCAAATTCAATGTTGTTCTCCCATAAACCTCTTAAGTCTAACTATCATGCCATCTATCTAATCCTAATTATAGTTTTATAAAATTTGCTTCTAAAACTACATGATATCTTCTTATTGTACAATACTCCCAATGAAATTCTCTATTTTAACCAACCATATAAATCTTCAAATTTAATGTTGTTATCCCATCAACCTCTTAAGCCTAACTATCATGCCATCTATCTAATCCGTTTTGATCAGCTTTCAATAGTGAATGACAATGCTGTATCTAAATGATTCTTATTATTCATCTACAACATTCAGCCCATTCAAATAAGACTTCCGTAGTATCTTAATTCTACACCATAATGAGTAAACTTTTTCATAATTGTCATAATTGTTTACATGATGGCTTCCATCTCATGGGCAAAATTTTCATAATTGTTTAAAAGTTAATATGAACGAGGTAAGCTAATAAAACTGATCCACAAGCCACGTTCATACAGATGGCATTCTCATCCGTAAAGCATGAAAGTATCACTATTCTAGAGTCCTAGACAATATATCAACTACAAATTGAGAGTTGTTGTATACAATGGATGGTGGAAATGAACTCTTTTTGAATCTCTCCTTAGAAAATAAACCAAGTACTAGGAGTCAAAATGTTATGTATCTAACATTTATTTTCCATGCGCTAGACCAAGAAAAAAACACTACATGCAAAAAAAAACTGCATTCAAATAAAATGAAGCAGACACTATCATTTAAACAAGAGAAAATTCCCTTAACACATAATTCACAAGCTAATACTTGTAAATAATTACAAAACCTACAAGACTTACTACCAATAGAGGACTAAATAAGTAAATAGCATAGAAAATACTAAATCTTTGGCATATCAATATAGCACTGCCTTACTAAGAAAAAATTGTAGCCCTAAAACCTTCCAATAAGTGAAAATTCCAATCAATATTGCCAATACTAAGCCATAATTTAAGCTCATCTACTCATTAAAATAAAACTACTGTCCTTATACTCATTTACTTCCTTTGTAGAGCCTTAGTGAAACTAATAAAATCTTACCAGCACCAATAGCATAGACATTCTTCAAACCACCCATAACTTCATGAGTGACAAGGTCGCTATTATCCCACACAATAAAATGAGGTTGCCTCAAAAACTTAGCAAGAGATTTCCTCCACTTTTCAGCTCCACATATTCTAGCATTGGCATACTCCTTATTGTAAATTTCTGAAGCAATATTCGGACCTCCAAGATAAAGAATGTTCTCAACTGGAAGACCAGCTGCAAAACAGACATTGAAAAGATGAGAGAAGAATTCAACATAATTAAATGGTTTACAAGAAGCAAAATGGCATTAAATAAGAGAAAGAACATAAACAGTTAATTATATAGGCATATGGTTAGGGATAGAATGTTCTATGCAAAAGTTCAACAACTATTCTTATAAAATGAAGAAAAAATTATGAAAAACTAATCAATACCCTCTCAAGGGTGAACAACGTGTTTAGAAAGCTACATGCGATTACACTAAGAAAGCTGCCTACTCTATAGTAGTTAGGCATTAAGGCTTCGTTTGGGACGACTTTTTTATTGTTTCTTAAAACATAATTTTAATACAAAAATTTAAATATTTTAACAAAAACTTTGTTTTAAAAAACAATAAAAAATCGTCACAAACGAAGCCTAAGTTTGGTTCGTCAATTCCACTTTGAGGTGTTGAAAGAATTCCATCAAGTTTAACAACAAAATATATAAGGAAAAAAAAGGTTAAACTGCAGACAACTACGATGAAACAACTGCCCCTACATAGGAACTAATGCTGATTTTCTGCAAAATCTTACTCATGTTCCAATCCAACAGGTTCCATAGAAATCTTTGATATGCATAGTTCAAATCGGTAAATGTTCACAAAAACTGACTACATAGTACATAGCATAACAAAAAAATGAGCTTATGTTTTCAAACAGTAATCTCAACAGCACTAGTTGCTCGTTGAGTTTCAAACAAATAGCAGAGCAATCTAGAAGCAACTAACAGCACGAAGCAAGAAAATTTACCCTCCAAATAATTTCACTCTAAAATTAGTGATTTCTGAATTCCTGTTTCCACAAGTTATGTGGCCCAATCAAAAAGATTGGAACTTGTAAACAGATCACAGTTAGAATCAAGAATAAAAAACCATTTTTTAAGCCTGAATTTATTTAGCAAACGTACATTATTTTTGTTGCAGGCTAGAATATACGGGCGATAGAGTTATAATACTGCGTCTTAGCGCTACGGATATCCAACTCACACACTGTTTACCATACAATGCTAAGACGCAGTATTATAACTCTATCGCCACATATATTCTAGCCCGCAACACTTTTATAAATAACTGTCAAGAAAAAAGATTGAATAGGCAGGAAAACTCACTAGCACATTGAATCATCTGTGTGGGAGTTATAATGCGTGGTATTGGATCCAAAGCTGCCTCTACACCCTTTGCCAGCGATATTATGATTGGAACAGTGATCCTCTCCTTCCAATACCTACTAATCTCCTCAAAGACCTCCCTGGTCTCCGTTGAAGGCAAGCCATTTATTACAATATCAGCATCCCACACTGCCTCCTGCAAATTCGTCACAACTTTGAGCGGGCAAAGTGGCGTATCAATCATGTTCAAGCAAAAACCATCCCTTAGAATCTCGTCGGCATACAGAGTTCTATCGCCAAGTCTCCCCTCAACATACTTCAAATAAGCACACCGACGAATCAGGCGCCGGAGCACATCCTCCCTCGAGTTAATTACCTCAAAGAGATGTTCAGCCGTCGACCTATCCACAGACCTCCCCGCCCGTCTCCATATCCGAATCTGAAATTTCTCACGAAATTGACCGTATGCATCTTGCAACAAAGCAGCAAATACACTGCCCCAGGCACCAGCGCCAATGCTAACAATCTTTAGCAGATCACCATCTGGTTTTCCCAGCACGCTTCGAAACTCGTCCAGTCTCTCCACTGTACCATTGGAATTGTAAGTTGATCCATTGGAGTGCATAGAACCATGATCTCCCTGCGCACTGCTCACCATCTTCGTTTCTTCTTATCCAATTCGCGAGGTTTCAAGTCTATTTCTCGCTAAGATTTATGCCAAAACTGAAAGGTATACTTTCTAACAAGAAGATGAACAAACCCTAATTCTCTCACTAAAAACCAATTCCTCCCTCTTGCTGCTGCTTCCCACAAATCCAATCGGTATATTTGAGGGAAGAATTAGCCAACCAAACCACTCACTGAAATACCAAAAAAAGAAGGGATTTTAATGCGAGCTTCACCTAATGTACATCATTCAAAACTTAGATAAGCAAGAAAAATCACAAACAAGCAAAAGAAAAAAACCAACCTTCGTTAAAAGGGTTTTCTTTTCTCAAAAACACAAAAAGCATTCTCCTTTCCCTCCAATTTCTCACCGAAACAAAAGCCAAAACGCACAAGCCATTCAGCCGTACCTCATAACTTCGAAATTGCCGTCAAGGTGTTCGGCCATCTACTCTAACTAAAAAAGGCAGATATAATAACTTGGCCGACAAGCTCCCCGTTGTCGTGTACGAAATTTCAAAGGAAATCGCTTTCAACTTTCAATCAAAATCGGCGATTTGGAGCACAGAAACCGCCGTTTCAGCTGAGGGGAGCTGGGTAGTTGGACTTCATCAAGTAGAGGATAGGAAGATTAAATTTTTAGGAGAAATTATTTAAAGCGGCAAAGCTTTCGGAGGTGAAAGGGTAGCCTCAGCCTGATGATGATTGAAGGCAAGCAGCCATTAATGTCTTCTAATGATCCCAACTACCTAATTACTGAAACTAAATGCGGGAGAAATCAGAAGATCGGCCACTGAGGGTTCTTTGAAATAGATTTGGCTGGTTAAGAAACGATTTATATTAACTACTTATTATTGAATTATAATTAAAATATACAAATATATTGAATTTATTTCAGATGATCTAAAAAAAGACAAATTTATTGAAGCCATCAAATTTATTCTATTTATAAAATTACAAAATTATTTTTTTATCAAAAGAGTGTATATATATGAATAAAACTTTCAATTCATTTAAAATTTATTAAATTTTAAAAATTAATGCTATATACTAATTTTTTTCTTAAATATAATAATTATTAATTTTTTAATGATATAATTTATATTAGTATATTCTGACATAATTATTATTCGAATCAAAATGTATTTCACAACTAAAAGGTTAAATTTGATGTATAATATAAATTAATTTCAACCTTGTTGCGGGCTAGAAATTACGCGGCGATAGAGATTTGATTCTACGTCTTAGCGTTGTACGTATAACTAGCACACACAGAGAACACAAGATTTTTTACGTGGAAAACCCTTAAAAGGGAAAAAACCACGAGGCCTAGCCCAGTTGAAAAT